ATAATCATGTTATAATAACTGAGAATATTGGTGACTGTGTAACAATACTGGATAGAGAAGGAAAGAAAGTAAAATCATTAGGAGGGAAAGGAGGAAGTGGTAATTTCAAGTTTTCTACTCCTCGTGGTATAGCCATTACTCCAGAAAAATTCATTCTTGTATCTGATAGTCACAGGATCCAGAAGATAAGCATGGATGGATACCTTATAGCATCAGTTGGTGAGAAGGGCAGTGGACCACTACAATTCAATGTTCCTTCTGGTATAGCCATTTCTCCTATAACAGGACAGGTTTATATTGCTGATAGAAGTAATCATCGTATACAAGTCTTGAATCCTGATCTAACCTTCTCTCATTCATTTGGTAGTGAAGGACCAGCTAATGGACAGTTTCAGTTACCACATGATATTGCTATTGACAGTCAAGGATTAGTGTATGTTACTGATACTTATAATCATCGCATTCAGAAGTATTCTCCAGATGGAATGTTTATGGGTCAGTTTAGTACTAAAGGATCTGGTCCTGGACAGCTTTGGGAGCCAATAGGTATAACAATAGACACTGCAGCTACTGGTCTAGTGTATGTTAGTGAAGGGGGCAATCATCATATATCAGTCTTCACTAGTGATGGTGTGTTTGTTAGCAGTGTTTGCAGTAATATTGATCAGTTTAATAGTCTTTTTGGATTAAAATTTGATGAAGATGGATTTTTGTATGTTTGTTATTTTAACAATAGTTGCTTTGTTGTTTATTAGATTAATTTTATTAATTTTAATTTTAAGATAATTTTGTTGAAAAATATTTCATTTAGTTTTTCATCAACTGGTGACATGCAGCATATTATTAGTTACATGGCCACAATTTCACCGAATTAAGAACCTGCTAATCATAAAAAATTTAGCCATTTGCCAGAATTTAGTTTCTCCAAAATTACAGACTATGGCAGCAGCAACACTCAATAATTTTTAATAATTTTATAAATAAATTATTCTATTATATGTTGTAGGGTGCATCAGTTGAAGGTCAGGAGAACATTCAAGAAATATTAATGAAGCAACTGGTACTGTGTCAATACTTGTGTGCTCTATCCATACTGAGAACTGGTTAGACAATAATAGTATAATTCTAACATTTATATATCTCAATCATCTCCTTTCCTCGCTCTCTCTCACTTGCTTTATCTCTCTCTTTTAAGGTGGACATTTTGTCTGTAAAGTGTTTGACATGTTCACTCCATTTAGTGTTGGCCTGTTCTATCTTCTTTACCGCTCGTTTGAGCAAGTCTGCATATTCAAACCAGTAACTAGCAGACCAGCCAATTCAGAGAGGTAACTCTATACTTTCCATTCCCATTATTCCATACCACGTAATCTCATACCCATACCTTAATCTTTCATTCCTATGTCCAATAAACTCTTTCTCATACCCTCTTACTTTATATTTTTATATGCTCATTCCCATACTTTTACTCTCATTCCTATTCTTTTATTCTCATTCCCATGCTGTCATATTTTGGTTCCAGGTATGTGGTATGTAGAAGCCTCAAGGAAGACAAGCAATCTGTTAACCAATATTTATTTATTATAAATGAAACTATTCATGAACTAAGACAAGACGAAGAAGAAGAGAAAGATATTTTAGAGGTGAGAGAGAGAAAGAGAGAGGGGAAGGGTATCAATGTAGAATAGAGATATTGTGTAGCATGAAATTGGAAGAATTTGGTTTGGTGATGTGACCAATCTTTACAAAATAGAGACATTTTGTTTTATTTCATTGAAAATTTGAAATCATACAAACTGTGTACTCTCTGATTTGCAGTGTTTTATTATTTCTTTTTTCATTTTTTAGGTTGTTCCTAATAATTTATTACAGACCGAACCATTCTACACTTACATTACTGACAGTAATGACCGGTATTTATACTTATTATTATTATTAT